CTTGCTTGACTATAAGTGGTTAGAACGACAGGTTCAGTGGGCAACGAGGATCTGGAGACCAACAGACTACGTCGCGATGCTGCACCAACGGAAATTCCAATGGTATCTCACAAGTATTCGCGAGTCGACTGTCAGGTAGTCCCCATGCCATCAAAATTATGTGCAACGTTCACATGATCATGTTGGGGACATCTGGGATAGACTTTAATATCGTGACTGTGAGGCTGACGATATTTTTTCAGCTTTTTTTCAAAACCCGGCGAATAGGCTGACGATATTTTTTCAGCTTTTTTTCAAAAACCCGGCGAATTCTTTTTGAACGAGTATATTCGGTAGAGTGAAGCTTACCGCCAAGGCCGCGGAGGACAACAAGTGTATGTCACTCCTTACAATCAAGAAATTCGTCACGCCAACTACAAAACCCGATGTCGAGGAACTTGGACGGCATAACTGCCATGGCATCGTTCACACTGTCGAGAAAGACGTCCTAGCCCGCGTTGGTTACAAGGGCGGCGGTGCATCTGAGAACTTCAAAGTTGCCGAATTGAAAGCTGTCGTAACTAAGCCCAAGGTTCCTAAAAAGCCCAAAACACTAGCAGGTGATTAAAATGATCCCAAATTATAGCTAGTCTAATTTTCATCTCACTGTTCAAGCGACATGCGTTTGCCAGAAAGTTTTTGCGCGCCTTTCCTTGCAAGTATATTTATAAACACCATGAACTTGTCCCGAATATTTACTCCAGAGCAGGTTCTGCCTCTTTCACACATTCAAAATTTCAGCCTCGCGTCGTCGATTAGTATACACTGCATACTAATCAACACATTGTTCTTTTATCAACACATCGTAAACCTCTGATCGTTCCCATCCAAGATTGACTCCAAAATTGGGTCGCTGTTGTGAATTCGATTGGGTAATTTTTCATTGGAACTTCTGCACTTTTACACGTACTATTAGTAGTTGTATTTTTGTACTCCTGATGGTCTACCTGCGGATTCATGAGTAGATAAATGACACCTTTTCAGTGTATAGTTGCCATGTCATCCGGGGGAAGCACGATTGCAGAGATACTGCTAGGTTGTAAAAGCCCAAACAGGATGCTGAGGTTGGGTTCGAATCACGGGCCTCTCGATCAGTAAAGTCGCACCTCAACCACTGAGCCACCTTCAGCTCATTTCATGTCACTCATACCATCTTTAGCGCACAAGTTATTTCGGTTCTTCGCTCTAATTCTTAACTAACGAAAACAGAGTCATAAAGATATATCCATCTGGACTGTCACGCACGATGTAAGTGATCAGCCAGACGTTAGAATTGTCGAACAGCTCTCGGTAAACTCGTGTGCTTTCTGAGTTGACTTCGGTTGACCTATGGTTACCTCAAACGTGTGAAAATCGCTTGATGCTAAATTGTAGACCGAGATCTTCAGTTGGTATGGATCACTCGCGCCATTACACGGACAAGAACCAGTCTATTAAGTGACAGTATGTATTAATGAATTAGCGAGCGATACGTTTGTTACATAAAAGTATAGAGGAGAAACAACTAAGAAATGCCGCCATGCTGAAGAGCGTACAATTCAAGAGTGAGGTGTGCTAATCAGCTACTCTATGGCTCGCACAATGTGGCAACTTGAGGTCACATGCTAAAGACCACTTTGTCCAGCTCAACACACACGTACAGTATATTATGAGATCTTTGCAGCAAGGGTTACCTTTATTCAAACATCTGCTGGCACATTATCACTACAGCCTGTATCTCTGTATCACCGAAAAAAACTGTTAAATCAATTGAAACGCATGTACCGATGATCCGAGTCTTGGTTCTGGTAAAGGAGATGCTAATTAACTTATGCTGACCTCAAAGGTTGAGCGGCCATACATCGAACCCAACATTCCATGTGTGGGCGTATCTCGGAACGCAAACTGCACAATCGATAAAACATGGCGAATCGACAAGTTGTGGTAGGATGATGATAGCAATCGGTTTCGACGGTTGCCTCTTGCTCTTACGGTACAATTCACCAATCACCTGTGTGTATGATACCCTAACCGGTCTTTGTACTTCTTTGTACCCTTAAAGTTGAGGGATGATTGGTCAAGATAAGTCAGCATGGGCTCATTCCACTTGAATCGCAAAATACTAGAGGATGCGATATCCAGAATATCGTGCCAACTGAATCATGAGGCGACCTGTGTGCAGCACATTCAGTTGTAGAATACCCTAAACGAGAGATTCAGTTGAGTCTCTCGTGAGAAACAAATTGATTTGCAAGTGAGTGTATTTCTCGAAAACAGTCCAATTTGGGTTCAACTAAATCATAAGTTTGACGGGGACTCGGGGACTGCACCCACCTGATGATCCCCAAGAAGGGCGAAACCGATGGTGGGCTGTCGAGGAATTTTCAGCAACCTTGTAAGTAGTTTTCTTTATGAAAATATTATAAGTTAGATTTACAGTAAAACAATCTGAATGGGAATCGGAGGCCCTCGATATGATCAACGAATCCTACTACATTCATCCCGTGGCGATCGCAATGTTCGAAGTAACAGTTTAGCCCGTTAGCTGTGAACAAACTGCCCGCAGCTCATGACGATTCTCTAGGTTACATTGTAGACACAATGTGGAGCTCCGTATTGTCCGAATACGTACAAAGGGCTGACGTAATTATTCAGAAGCTGGATGCACAATGAATTCAACTCACATTGGGAATGGGTTACTTCAAGGAGTAGCACAGTAGCTGTTTGCTTAAAGTGACGCTTACCGTCTTCTTGTTGGCTACGCTCGGAGACATATGTTGAAGCAATTCGGTTAAATATCAAAATCGCGTCAAAAACACGAATCATAGAAATCCGCTATAATCGGATCAACTTAGCAAATTTGTCAGCTGGTAGACACCATTCTTTCAGTTTTAATTAGCTTTCAATTTCAATACAGCCTACTCCCTTTAAAGACCACCCGTATAAAACGCAAAAGGGCCTTTGTCCACAAGTGAGCTTTACGTAGTTTTTTTCACGAATTGAGTAAATAGTTGGCTTTATTTTGTGGGGATCTTGTGTTCTCGCCAGTTCTGTTGCTTATTTTACAACGAATAAATGACCACTATCGCTTCTTTGCCCTTGAGAAATTGATATACATTTATCCGTTACGTAGGGCTTACGAAGGAATGGAACTGCCTTACAAGGAGAACTTTTGTGCCGGAAACCACGTTAATTACTAGTGCCCTAAAAAGCTCGCTTCTATCGATACTACGCCCATGACCAGATAAAGATACATTGTGAAACCACACGATTTAGCCAGCTTAAATAATATCGAAAATGAGAGAAAATAACCAACATCTCAGAGAATGGATCAAATTGTGGTTCTCCTTTCATTCAGTCCGGATGAGTTCATCAGCACTGGTTACCTCCAAGATGTGCGCTCTGCTCATTTTCAGCCAGACTAATATGCCCACAAACCGTTCTTTTCTTTCACCTACTTTAATGCAAGAAAGGCCTGATAACGGCTCACTACACTTGTCACATATTCGCACATGGATGGAGAGTTGAAACCTCACACAAACACTTTATTGGAGACACAGAGAGAGTATCCAGTCGTTGAACCATAACCGTGCCGGCTGCTTTTAGAAGTTGTATTGTAAACGACCCAATCTACATCCATGTCTACTTACAACTTCGATCAACAACAATCCGGCCACTCGATGTCGCTAAATGGCGCTAACCTGGTCACTCTTTGTTTCCCCATCTTATCTAACCTAGTCAGTTGCATTATCGATCACCATTGCAGTGACACAGTCCTAACCAAATGCGCGATGACGCGGTTGATGGGTGTGTCTGGCGTTAAAGGAAAAGAGAGTCCTTCCAACATGATGGCTGGTTTCAAAGTTCGAGGACAGATCAGTGTGGAGCACTTAAGCTAACACTAGCTCTTTTCCAATAACAATGTTCTGGTGAATCTCCTAGTGACTCCCTCATGCAAACTGGCGTCATAATCCGAAAGAGACGGTAAGGTTAGCGGACCTTAACCCGGAAAATATGGCTTTGTACAACACGAACGTAGTACGTGGAGACAAGAACAAACCGGCGTAAAAGTGTCTTCTACAAACCGAAATGTGACTCTCGATAGACGTACTGATGTATGTTGTCTTACCAAAAAAACCGCCATCCTACGACTGGGTTGTCTCTGTTTGTAGGTGAACTTTATAAACGGTTCCCAAACACATATATGAGATAAAGTTTCAGGAACCAAAGAGCAGTATTTATGAGGATATCGTTTTTATACGGAAATTTCTGTATAAAAAGCATGACTATACTCTTGTGCAATGAGTGAACAGTGCTGTGACATACTGCTTCGCACAGGAGCCAAAAAAGATGAAGAGAACAAAGTCAGAAAAGAAAGGTCTATTTCAAGCCAAGGTACTGATAGGTTGCATCCAAAAAGCCACTTATTCAACCTTGAAAGTTTTAAATGATTTCAATAAGTAAAGGCACTCTATGACGCAATAACACAAAACATGGAAGGTAGCCAGTAAAACGTTCTTTAAATGGTGACCTGTGTGTGTGTGGTAGAGTAACGTGGCATCTTGGAGATGTAATCCCCCACCAAAAGTGAAGCGGTATTTTATCCCGACTCAAGACAGTACTCAGTCGTGGCTCTAAGATGAAAGCTCCACAACAGAATTGGCGTTCTTTTGGAAAGTCTCTTCTGGACGAATAATTTCAAAAACCATCAGTTACCTTACCGTACTGTCCTACTGTGGAATGCACTCGCGAAGAACTTCCACAGAACCTCGCAGACTGTCTTAAGCCCCCACTCCAGGTGGATGCTTCTAAGAAACCTGGGGACCATACAGTAGTGTCCCTCGTGACCCACAATGCACTGTGGATCTTCCTGAAGTGAGACCGAATCCCGCATTCTTTATGTTACTCTTCCTTGAGAGAAGCGATATAATCAAGGCAGCAAAATCAACCAAACTTGTGGCAGTATAACGAAATCTACTTACCAATGAATTGAAATGCAGTGCTAAACAGTGACCGAAGATCCTGAGATTCCATATCTGCGGCAGCGATTCGGCAACAATGAAATCTGACCTCATCAAGGAAAGGGGCTTTTGGGGTCACGTTGAGAACGAATCGGATGTTGCACGCCTGAAGTACCTGCTCGCTAGTTCCATCGATTTCATTCCCTAAATTGTTGAAACGGAGAGTGTGAACAGATGAACAGATAAACTGTTTGGATAAGAGTCTGGGAGACGCGAAATCATGTCAATTTCTGTTATTCGAAGGTCACTTTAAGTTATAAGAATGTTCGTATCAGTGAGTCTTGGTATGGTGCAATTACCATGCGTATGAGTTTGTTACCCAGTCACCAAAACACTATCAGGTGGATAGAGGGTAGGATAGACCCAGCTGAAATTTTTATTGCGTAGATTCGCTCACACTGGAAGCTCGCCGATGTGAACATGGTGAAAGGTTGGAACCATTTTGACAAAAAATGTTGGTATGTTCTTGCTGGAAACTCCTCACCCTTCCTACGGCTCATGGGTTAGGCACATTCCCCGAGTTCCCATCAGCCCAATGTGAGCACTAATTGTTCATCAATGACGGAGTACACTGACTTTCAAACCTCAATGGCTTGTAAGAAAGATCCAACTGAATAGCCTTACTGAAAGATTCGTTTGAGTCTCTCGTTAGCACTACAGTAATTGGCAGATGAATGCATTTTATCAGTCCTTGTACAATTTACATGGACGTTTCACCCTGACGGTAATTTTGCTTCAAACTAAAATTTTACGGCCAGCAATTTGGCATGGCGGAATTCACGTGAGTTTCCGTCAATGTGAGAGGTTTTGATAGACATCCGGTGGCGCTTTCACAACAAATCAATTTTACACCGCTATGTGACGAGGATTTTTTCGGGTTTTTCTGTTTTTTTTTTCAGACGCTGTGAGTTGAGTTACTTTCTGCATGTCGGTAGCCAGCTGGAGGCTTATTTGTCAACTTAATCGGCCATGCACACTGTCACACCGTCCTACACACTGCAGCGAGACAGCGTAGGTTTTTGACCAGCTACTGAAAAACTAAAATGAATCAACGATGATGAGAAATCACTGGACTGAACTTACGATGTCACCTCGGTTGGTGATGAAACATTTGCAATCCAGCCGCCAAACTGGGCGAACAGACCAACAACCAAGCAGTGCACCCAAGCTACCCATTTTCCGAAACATTCATTAATACTACTTCGTGCTTGTGCAGCCAGTGTGAATAGTGTACACCATAGCCCCTCAACGGGTGCCTCCCTCTTGTTTATATCAGACAGTCAAACCTACGAATATCACAGCTGTTCACAAACATGAGACAATAGCCTTCGTGCAGTGGGTACACAGTACCAGTAAGTGAGTACACATATGGTTTCTACTACAATCCTAATCCAGTTGTGGTCTCCACAGAAGAAGCGATTTCCCAGCAGATCCCAAACCCACTCCCTGCGACGGTTGTGTTCCAAGGTTGACGGGTGCATAAAATCCACGGTCATCGATTGAAGTTTACAAGTTTACATTTACAATCCAAACAAATCCAACTGATTAAACAGGATGCTGCTTGCTGAACGTACAAAAAAGAAACCTCCATAATACGAGAGACTGCTCTGAAGAAATACACTCATCTACTTATGAAGTTAATGTTAAGGGGATACTTGGTTGAATCCAAGTTGAATCACTCGTTCATTATTCATACAAGGCCTCCGTTGACGCCAAATTAATTTGCAATTTGGTCATCAAGTAGAACATATGTTTGACGGGAATTCGGAGACTATGCGTACCTAATGAGCTTCAAGAATAATCAAACCTAGTTGATGGCTGCTGAACAGATTTTCGCAACACCATACGCAGCTTGCTGTGCCAAGAAATTACGTTTGCTCTATCATCTCTGGGATTGCCCTAGAGACAATTGCCGCTGTGGAACTACGGATGCGCGCTCACCAAAGAAACGGCTCGTTTCATAAATGGCTTTGTTAGAAGGATAGCTATGTTCGACAGTATATCTGTGACAGTTCCCAAACTAACGAAAAAATGCCACGTCACATGAATAGGAATTAATTAAACGTTTGCTTACTGTTTCTCAAAAAAAAAAAAGGTTGGTTGCCCAAACTTCCGGATATTACCTCAATTATTGTCACTTACCTATGTACAAAAATGGAAGAATCTGACTTGCTTTGGCATGAAAAACACTTTTGGGAGATTCACAGTCCATTTGGGATGACATGGGAGAGTGAAAAATGCGAAGAAGTTTGCTTAACTGTGAAGTGATTTTCGTTTCGGGTTCGGGTCGACACAACTCTGTGGTCGGAGTAGGATTGCATGTTTTGTGAATAGTTCGCTGGACAAGCAGACTGAGTCCCGGAAGAAGAAATGACTGATGACGAACAAGGTTGTTGACTGCCGGTGGACTTAGTTCTGATTGCGAAACTGCCTCATTTTTCCCCGCATAGTGATTCGTTCGAAGTTGGTCTCCCGATGACCTGAGTTCGTTACGACGAGTCGCTATTCGCTTGAGTCGAAGATCAACTGATTGTTCACATAGATGGGGAAAGCAGCGCCGGAACTCTCGAAAGCCTCCTGAAGTAGAAGAATGGTAAAATATTTGGTGTAAAAAATTTCGGAGAGGGATAAGTCTTCAGAGTCGTAGATTTTTCATTCCATTATAGTCGTTCCCCTAAACTGGGACCACATTCAAGTAAGAACCACATATGTTCCCAAAATAGTTGCCTCAAATCTGCCACCACACCTGTTTTTTTTATTCAGAAGCAGACATTCATTGCTGTAAAAGTCGCTTATCCCACTGATGTAATGACTGTTTCAATTAAAATATTAATGGTTCTGCTGTAGCACCCTACGGTGCCTAAGTGCCATGCTACCCGAAAGGAATACGGGGGCCAAGACAGTTTGCCCAAGAGCAGAGGTCGTGTTAGCACCAGAGACTTTGTGGTCAGTACGTTCGCGCCATAACTACTAAACCATCTCGAGCTTTTTCAAGTATTCGGTAGTAAGACACAGATCGCAAGCTGGACCACATGTAAAGGTAACGACGGCATCTGTGACACATTTAGGAAAACGCCAGGACGTTCAAACCACTACTCAACAATCTCTTTTATAAGGTTGAAGGAAAGTAAGATGTTTCCCGTCAAGTTCTTCTCCAGTAGACAGACAATCGCTTCATCGGTATTCCCCAATGGTGTATTAGTAACAATCTAGTGTAACAAACATGTTTAATGATATTCATCTCTATCCGTTTCCGCCTACTGAAGAAAGTACACTAAAAAACCGACTCTGGTCTATCCTCAGAAGTGGTCTCTACTTGGGAGGGGATTAAACCAGTATACGAAGCTTAGAAGGTTCTCCCAAATCTGAGCCCTTTCAAAGCTACCACCAATGGTAGCCTCCTAAGAATGAGACATCGGTGATAGAACAGTCACTTTCAAGAGCGTGAATTCTTCCCACAAGTCTGTCGGATTTGCTAGTCCAACCAAAGGATACATTTACACATGAATCTCAAAGAGAGACAAACCATGACAAATAACTATCCTATTTGGAACCTCCTAGGGAACTCTGCCCCAAATGTTCCCTGGAATGTTAGGTCCCTCAACAGTGGGCATAGTAAGCTACGCATAATCTGTCCATCGCGCCAAGGGATGCGCAATCGAGATGGTGAGTTCTCTCTGGTTGAACAAGAAACACAAAGTGACAAAGTCAACAAGTACATCGCTGGTGAGTTACACTTGACACCCATGCCAACAACACCTGATAGTTAATCCTCAACCGGTGTATGATGGAGCATAAAAACAAACCCGACATTGGATCAGTGGAAAGAAAATTCACGCCTTTGAGGACGTCAAAGATGGGGAATTATGCTGTTATTGACAAAACACTTTTGGTTGTGAGACGCTTCATTCTATTTCGTGGTGAGTCATGCTAGAACAGTGGTAGTGTATACACAAAACTTTGAAATGATGCACCTATGACTATACAGTGAACTCTTGTAAGTACGCAACGGACAAGGAAACAAATAAGACTGCTGTCATATTGTTACAGGGAATTTTACCTTTTAAAACCCGAACCAAGCTGAAATGCTTCATCCTAATGTGCTGAACCAGATCCATGACCACACCATTGGGTCGCAGTGTTTCCTCGTTAATAAACTCCGTGCACAGAATGACAAACCTGCTGGACGAATTACTAGTCTGTGAACAAGCATGGTCCGGCAAACTGCTAAGATAATCATCCAGCATGGGTAGGATCAACTTTAGCTTGATGCGAGATTCACAAGGTATTCCAACGGAGCCACGTATGCGGACACAGGTTTGAGCATGTAACGCTCGCAAGTCGAAGATAACTGGACCGACCCAGGTGGACTCGGAACGGGCTGGGTTTTGGTCCGTCAGCATAGCTGCCACGTCCTTCCCTTGAATGAATAGCGGTTCAGGACCGCAGGCTACATCGCCGGTTTCGTGATTTGAACATAGTGCTGTGCCTCGCATTGGACAGTGAAACTGGCTTAGCCGGCGTCGTTTCGATGGGCAGTTTATACCAACAAATTCCGCGTATTCACTTCCTCCGATGCTCTCCATCGGCATACACTCTTTGTGGTAGATCTCGTCGTCCTCACTGATTTGGCCGGTTCGTTGTGTCGTTTGTTTTTTGAATTCAGCTGGATTCACACCGATGGGCAGCAGATCTAGGAACATCTGTTTCCTGAGTGATCTTTTGGTGCATAACACTTCGCGATGAGCGTCAGATGACGGCATCTTACGTTTTTAGACTGCACCGGCCGGGTGCACAGCATGATTGTTGGCGTCGCATACATAGTTTGCGCCAATCGGCGTCGCAGAACCACGTGAGTCACTGTTCCACTATTTTGGTTGGACCAGTCAATCGCACATCCGATTGGCGAGCAGCACTGCGTGGGTGAATCGCATATGAAGATCACGTTACGTTGATTGGCCACACAAGACGTCGGAGGCAATCTCCGAGGCTTCTGCCGTTTCACGACAGCCTGTGTATTTTTGCATGCGGTTGATGCTCCGCTGCCCGAAATTCGGTAGGGGGCTGCGCACTGCCGTTTCACTCGTGCTACAGCTTGAAATGCAACAGCGAAGTCAATCCATGAGTAGGGTGTTTGCTGAAAATTACCTACTGGATTCTTCGATAGCCTGATTTCGGACAGGTAGACCAGGTAAATTTAAAAAAATACATTATCAGTCAATTCAATTTCAACCTAACTTACAACCTTACTTAACCTAACGGGACACCCAGTCACCTGCCACCCACCTGGGAAGAGCTGCACTTTTTACACACATTACCAACTATCATCCACAGGCCACTGTAATTAGCAGCAAATTTAACCTGCAACCGTTTGTTTTGTTAGCAATATATCAGGTATGGTACTAAGAGATATGTTGCTTGGATTATCTCCTGGTGGTCTCCGAAAATTGTCAATGGTAGTCGCATCCATTGGAACAAAATTCACTCCAGTTACCCTCTGGTCTCCCTCTAATCACCGGCCGGCTTAGCTGGGTGACCTTGTGTTAACTGAGCTACCGACTCATTACAAAATTCCTGATGACAAGGATTTCAGAGGGACATATTTGTTAAATGATGATTTTGGAGTAAAATTCAACCGAAACCACTCTATTCTGTACGTCATCCCGCCATCTCCATTCCGTCTTGTGGTTCTCGGCCTTATTGAGCGGTTTAGAACCGACTTAACATATTTCGGATGCTAGTAGAAGTTCTAGTGACACGCTTTCTTCGGGATAAGTGGCGCACTACAAAACATATTTGGTTAACGTTCTCCTCCATTACTCACTCAAGGTATCACCTTGTGCTAGCCAGTGAGGTGGACAAGTTGTGGTATGTTTGGCGGGATACTTGGCTCTATACCATGAAGTCTGAACGCAGAAAGTACAACGGTGTATCACCTAGAACAGACCAATCCAACTGTGAATAGAAGTGTACCGTAAGGAAACATGCGGGTGGAAAATCAATCTCAAGCAGAAGTTACCAAACCGAACTAACCTCGTGCAGAAAAAGCCAATCATATGAGAGCACAAGCCGTCTACAGGCTGTCTGCATCTGCTCATGCGCACAGGCTGCTCCAAAGACCGTGCAAGACGATAAGGGTCGTCAGTCCTTACGGTTAACCAGTTTGCTCATGAGGTGAGAAACATGCGGGTGGAAAATCAATCTCAAGCAGAATTAACCAAACCGAACTAAACTCGTGCAGAGAGCACAAACTGTCTACAGACGTGTGAGTTTAGGAAAGAGAAAAATGCACAGATAGCCTGCTTTCAATTCCCACTCTGTCGTTTTCCATAAGTAACGTAACCCGGATAAGACCCCTTACTACAGTCGATCCAGCAAGACCGTTTTCACCGTGCTCTTCGACATTTCACCTCAATTATTTTGCGTAATCTGATTGACAAGCAGTGCAACTTGCTCAAAGTCTGCTGAATCCTCTAATCAGCGATGTGCGCGGGGAAAAGTTGGCGTCCAAGTTTCGATCACTTTTGACCCGTCATAAATAGGGGTGTTCTTGCGCTTGTCTGTCCTAAGTAACTGCGTTATTCCAAGTCATGTTAACTTTTTGACGCGGCCCTCTTCCAAGACGCCCTTCTTCTGAAGCGCTGTTGTATAGACAGCATATCAACCCGCTATCCTAGCACAATATGGACCTAGGAGTAAAAACACCATTAAGTTTTTAAAAATTGAAAGACAGGTGCACCCGGATGACGTACGCGTATGAGCGACCGAAGTGAGTTTTGTCAAATTCATTCTCGCCGTTAATCAGTCGAAAATAATTGACCTCTGAGTTTGGTCTTACAATGAACAGACACTAGGCGAGGTAGGCTTACCTGAATGTGACTTATCCTTTCCGCAAGAGTGGTACTGTACACTGCCATCGAAAACTTAGTGGTGTTTAACAGTCCAGCGTCTGGATGCGATAAATAGAATACGCTTCATCGTTAATTGTATGAATATTTGAAATCTGAATATGTAATGAACGGCTTCTTTGATAACTAAAACATTCACTACTGAAAGCATTCCTGGTGTGACGACCAAATTTCGCCACAACACGATCAATATAAAGAGAGTGGGATGCATCATCAAGTATGCGTTTGAAAAGACTTAAGAACAGAGAGAAAATTGTAAGTCCGTGAACATTCGGCAAATGATTGTGGGAAACCTCATCGAGATCAGCTCATGTTTTTTCGTATGAATCTTCTTTAACGGAACTGGAAAACAAGTAGACAATACAGAACAATCTTAAAAGCACACGTGAGTACAACTTTGAAAACAGAACTACGGGTAAATCAGGCGAACGGAATACACCGGGATATTTATAACCATTCGCGTTCGGAAACAGGTGTTCACATTTGAAGGAGAACTCGAACGAGCTTTTCAGAAGGGTGAAAACAGAATGACAATCAGAATATTCTATTTTCAGGTAGTTCAATGGATTCCAAGAGGTGAAAATTTTGCAAATGAACTTTCAAATCGTAGAAGGCATAAGTTTACTAGTATACGGAATAAAGCTGAGTAAAGATTGCATTTCCAAGGTTTGTGGTAGAATGATTGGGAATAACTGATAACAAAACGGTACCCTGAAGTACGTTAGCCTTAGAGATAGGAGAAGAGTGTCTTTAAAGTGTCGTTGTGCAATGCAATCGAAAATAAATTGAATGTTTTCTTCATAAAGGAAACTACTCACAAGGTTGCTGAAAACTCTTCGACAGCCCACCACCGGTTTCGCCCTTCTTGGGGCTCATCAGGTAGGCACAGTCCCCGGGTTTCCGTCAACCTTATGTTCAACTAGAACCCAAATTGGACTCTTTTCGAGAAATACACTCATTTTCAAATCAATTTGGTTTTCACGAATATCATAAACTAGAGATTCATTTGTGTCTCTCGTGAAAACCAAATCGATTTGCAAATGAGTGTATTTCTTGAATGTTTTCTTCTTTGTTGGGGGGAAGGAGAGGCGTTACTTGCTTATTCGGGGGAAACTCAGAATCTTACATGTGAAGGAAAGTTTCACTGTACTGAAAACATAAACGTGTGCGAGAATCCGAAGCAATCCCACACTAAACGAACCCGGTGTTAGTAGCTTCCGGAGAGTAGTAGTCTATACAACGAACTCCGATTAGTACCTTCCCGATGAGTGGTCGTTTCTGACAAATGCTTCCATATCAGGGCGTCACAATCAGGCATTTCTGCTTTTTTTTAAATTGGCAACCGCTATTATGTATCAATGCGAAAGGGGCTCAGATTTACTCGATTAGTCATCGTCCCGGAAAAGTTCTGTAAACAATCTGTGGATGTGTTGTTCGGTTCTGACATCAAAGCACCTAAGAATGAAACAAATTGTTGAGTTTTAAGTTGAACAGTGGGTGATGAGCCAGATCAGTGTTAGGTTGTTTCTAAAAATTGTTTTCCTTCTTTGGACTACTAAGTGTTATAGGTGGCTAGCCTAACCTGTTTTCGCAGCGACGTCTGATAGCTCAGATGTACTTTCTATCTTGAAGGAACATTTGGTTAGTCATATTTTCTAAGGACCTTCTGTTATTCAGGTCACATGAGCCAGAATTGCATTCCATTCCATCAAACGCGCTGAGGACACGAAGGAAGTTTGTGATCGAATGAAGAGAAATTCGAATTTGGTGATGTGGCAAAAACGGGTCTGACGTACGCAGTTAAGGAATGATATACTCTATATTGTTCGTTGTCTTCACAACTTATCCACACAAGCTCAGAGATTTAAAAAAAAACAGAAGGATCACGAAAAACCGCCCAAGATACCAAAACTGAGAATCAAGAATATGCTTCTCGCTCCTGGCTCCACGTGATTATCATCCGGTGTGTGGGTTGATTTACAGGATAACCTGATATCACTTGCCAAGCTGTGACAAAACCGCCTACTTGACGGAAGAACGAGTCAGCACATGCGAAACCGACGTGCAGGGGAAGGGTGTGGTAGCAGTTTTCCACTTATACTGTATATTGTGTTAGCCGAACGACGAGCAGAGAATGTTCGGAGCCAAAACCAGGGTTTACCATACAGACTTACCATTTGTACGTTAAGAATGCGATACCAATATCTGTTGCTTTTCCGGGGCATTTGCAGAGTAGTAAGTGAAGCCGGATATTCCTTGGCAGCACGATTTGGGATGAACCAATTTTTCGTTCATTAATAAACTGCTGTGGTTGATATATTATTAGAGCAGTTGTATTTTAGACTAGGACACTCTATGCTTTAGCTTGTATCTGCGGTCAATGTGGCTTGAATACCAAGATCATGACGTGGTGTGATGCTCTTTGTTAGCCAAGCGGTCCGGCGGGCTGGGAAGCGACAGGATATCGACCTTTCGGAATGCGGATTTCGGCAAACCTGAGAAAAGATTGTCAGAATGATATCGGCTTACTAATCGTGAACACACGTGACTCCGTAGACAGCTATCACACCCTCTTCACATGTCATCATATATTAGGATGCGAGTAATCGATTAGAAAGTGCACGATGCGTCTGATTTTGAGCACACTTGACCGTCCTCTGTGGGTTGGTTGTCGGAAAGTTGAGTTCAACATTTTTGCATTGTATCCTGTGGAATCCAAGTGCGAAAGACCTTGCTGACAGCCCCGTAGGAATCGCATTATAGTAGTCAAGTATCTTTGTGTGGACCAAACGTGGCAAGCATCTGAAACGAATGTAACTACCATTAAACTAGGGTGTTGATAATTGTGCCTCCCTGTAAATTTGTTTGACTAATCTCTAGATTCTCAGA